CCCCCGCCTCCGTCGCTTACCACCCCGCCCCCGGCCGGGCGCTTCACTCTGCGCAGGCGCACCGCGTGCCTGCAGCCCAGCCGCCAAGCTCCGCTCACTATCAGCGGCGCCATTGGCTGACTGGCTCATGCATATACAAAATGAGTGCCCGGGAGCCTATTTTGCTTACGGGCAGCTGCGGTAGGCGGGGCCGGGGCCTGGGCCGGGGCGGAGGGGGCGGGCCGGGGCGGTGGTCTGGGGGCGTGTCCGGGGCGGAGCCGGGCCGCGCGTAGTACTGAAGGCTGAGCGGAATGCTGGAGAGCGGGCTTGCTGCTGGGGTCTGGGGTGGCAGTTGCCATGAGCACGGTGGACCTTGCCCGCGTGGGCGCGTGTGTCCTGAAGCACGCGGTGACCGGGGAGGTGAGGCTGGACGGGCTCAGGGTGGTGGGTGCGCCCCGGCACCTGGCAGCGGCATCCGAGGCCGGCGCCGGGGCACAGGGCGGAGCTGGGGGCGCAGCCTGGGCGCGCAGGCTGGGCGTGCGCGGCGCTGGCCGGGGGCACGGGGCGCGGGAGCGGGGCCGGGGGGTGAGGACGTGCGCACGGGCGGTGGTCCGACGGCGCCCCTCACCTGCCCCGGCGCAGGCCGTGGAGCTGCGGAGCCTGTGGCAGGAGCAGGCGTGCGTGGTGGCCGGCCTGCGGCGCTTTGGCTGCATGGTGTGTCGCTGGATCGCCCGGGACCTCAGCAGCCTGAAGGGGCTCCTGGACCAGCACGGCGTGCGCCTGGTGGGCGTGGGGCCCGAGGCCCTGGGCCTGCGGGAGTTCCTGGACGGTGGCTACTTCGCGGGAGGTGCCTGCACAGGGGTGGCAGGGGGACCTCAGCCTGGCGGCTGGATGCAGCAAAGGAGGTGGTGCCCCCCCCCCCCCCCCCCCCCCCCCCCCCCGCCAAATGCCCAGCCCGCCCTGAGACCCCTCCTCAAACTCATGGCATTCGCTGCCTCCTTCTTGCACAGCCTAGGCCCTTCTCTCTCCAGGAGCGGCCTTGATAGGCTCCTGTGTCCCCTCCCCTCCCCTTCCCTCCCCTTCCCTCCCCTGCCTTCTCTGGCTGTGGCCTCTACCCGCCTGCCCCAGACATGATATTCTTCCCACTGTGGAGGGCTCAGTGGTGACTCTGGCCTGCGATCCAGGGCAAAGGTCTTTACTGGGTCAGCTGCCAGCTCCTCGCCTCCCCAGGAGCCAGATCCTGAACTTCTCCAGATGCTTTTTCCCCAAGGAGTATCTGGGACCAGAGCCCAGGCTCTGCTGCCTCCCGACCCCACCCCGCTGGACCCCTCCCCTCACAGAGCCCTGGGCCCAGTGGCAGAGTCGAGACACGCCCTGCTTCTCCCTTTCCACCTGTACTTCTGGGCCTCTGCCTCTCCTCTAGCAATGGGGACAGTCAGCCCTGCTCTGCCCCTCCTGGTCCTTGGTGGGCGAGCTGGGTACCAAGGGTGGACAGAAGGCCGAATGCAGGAGGGTGAGCCAGGGGGGCAGGTGGGCCTGGGGCACCCACCTGTGGCCTCTGCTTTTCAGAGCTCTACCTGGATGAGAGCAAGCAGTTTTACAAGGAGCTGGGCTTCAAGCGGTGAGCTGGGGGCTCGGGGCTTCACCGCTCCCTTCTTCCTTTTCTCCCCTTCTCCTCTCCCTGGCCAAGTGGGCTCTGGGGGTATCCACTGCTCCAGCCAGCCCTGCCGGGCTCTCTTTTGGGTGCCGAGTGTCTATTATGGGCTGTAGCTTAGGTTTCTCACCCAGGGCCTCCCCACAACTGGCTGCAGAGGGCACCTGGGCCTAGTGCCCCAGTCAGGGGCCACCCTAGCCACCTCAGGTGCATCTGCCACCGGCTGGCTGCCTCCTCTGATTGGCAGTGCCAGCTGAGCCAGAAACCCCGGGCTCACCCAGTCCACACTCCCCACACCCTCTGTGGGGCCCCAGGCCTGCCAGCCCACAGGCTGGGTGCCCCATGGCTCTGGCAGCTGCTTCTGGCTGGGCCAGCAGCTGGCCTGGCTGCCCCGTGCCTCCTGAGCCCCTGGTGAGATGGGGTGGGGCCTGCTTGTCGGAACTGGTCTGTGCAGAGACTGGGGGCAGGCGCTGGGGCTCTGTCTTCGGTGAAGAGTCAGAGCCTGGACAAGCCATTTGTGTCTTGGCAGGTACAACAGCTTGAGCATCCTGCCGGCCTCCCTGGGGAAGCCTGTTCGTGATGTGGCCGCCAAGGTTTGTGACGGCCAAGGTCGTGTGGGACTCAGGTGCAGGGGCTTCTGTCTAGGACTGACCTGGGCCTGCTCCCCTCCCCCCAGGCCAAAGCTGTCGGCATCCAGGGGAATCTCTCCGGGGATCTGCTGCAGAGCGGAGGACTGCTGGTGGTTGCCAAAGGTGGGCCAGGGGAGGGGCATCAGGGGCCACCGCATGGTCACGGGGTCGGGGGTGCAGGGCCACATACTCAGGTGGGAAGGTCTTGATGAACTTGACCCTGCCCTCACCCTCCCTCCCTCCAGCTTATTGATCTCAGCACAGTTACCCCCTTGGTGGAGTGGCCCAGCTCTGAGTGTCATCCTAGCTGGGCGGGGTGTGGCCAGAACAGCTCACTCATCTCAGTAACCAGGTGGGGTAGTGGCCACACAGGGGCACCCTGACGAACCCCCCCACCACCACCTGCCCGCCGGCTGCAGGTGGTGACAAAGTGCTGCTACACTTTGTCCAGAAGTCTCCAGGTGACTACGCCCCCCAGGAGAGCATCCTGCAGGCCCTGGGCATCTCTGCGGAGGTCTGTACCAGTGAGCCGCCCAAGGTGAGCCCAGACCTGGGGTGGGCACTGTGCTAAGAATGCCCCCGCCTCCCCAACCCCTGGGTTGAGCACTTGCTGTGGCCAGATGCTGAGCCGGACCTTGTTGGCTTTAGGTGATTCTGGGCTCACAGCAGCCCCAGGATGTCACTGCCACCCCACTTTGCGGTGACGGGCCAGGGGCACGGTGGCCAGATGGGCAGGCACAGCAGGGCCCTCTCCAGGGGACAGGGGGCTGGTCAGGGGCTGCAAGGCAGAGGAGGGGCTCGTCCTCTCAGCCTGGGAGGTCTGGGGTTTGTCCCAGGTGACCGTTGCCCACGTTAGTTTAGCATGGTGCTGGTGGTCTACCTCCTGTGCCCCGAATGGAGGGGACTGTCCAGCACACTCCTCCTTCTGCTTGGGCCACAGACCCCTGGAGGGTGGGATCAGCTGCTCTTGGCCCCAGGGAGTGTGGCCAGGCTGACGAGGCCTCTGCTGGCTCCGCAGTGTGATGAGGCGTGCTCAAGGTGAAGGCCCCGGGCCTCCAAGGATCTGAGCGGCGTCTCCTGCCCTGGGCACACTGGGAGTTGGATGTGAACAAATTCCAGAATCTCTGGGTTGGGGCTGGGGCTGAACTCTGCCTGGTCTGCAGGCAGCGATGAGCATTAAACTGCAGTTTCTGGACAGTGTTTCTTCATTGCCTCTGAATCTTGCGTCCTTGGCAGCCCTGGCCACCCTGGCCTTGATCGCTCTTGGTTTCATCCAGGCCAGCGGGGTGGTCATGCCTCCCGAGGCGTCACCTTCCCTGCTAGCAGAGTCGCTTTCCCTGGTGGGTTGGTGGTGGTGGACGCGCCCCTGCAGCCTCCTTGGAGACCTCAGGCCTTTGGCACATGTGGGTCAGGGGTCTGAGAACAGGTCCAGGGTGTGGGAGATGAGGGTGGGATGGGCTCTGTCTGATAGTGAGGAAACTCCCCAAGCCCCAGGCGGGAGCCTGGCCTGGAGGGGTGGGAGCTAACTGGGTTTCCAGGGAGGAGATGGTTTCCATTCCACCTGCTGGAGTCTGGTGGACAGTCGGGGACTTTTAGGGAAAGGGCTGCTCTGCCAGCAGGCCCTTTACTCACGTGAGACTTGTCATGTGCGCCCCGCTGGGGGTGGGGGGTAGCCTGGGGGGGAATGTCTGGTTCCCCCGATGCCCCTGTCACGAGGCGGGGAGGTGACAAGCACCTCAAACCTAACAGGTCTAGAGCAGAACCCCTGTCCTGCCCTGTCAGGAGCTCTCTCGTCTGAGTTCAGATGACTTTCTCAGCATCCTCCATGCCCCTGGTCCAGGCCTGGACAACCACAGTGGCCTTCTAGCTGGCATCCCAGCATCCCCGGCCCCCAACAGAGCCTCTCTGTGGTCATTTAAAGACTCAGGGCAGGTGACAAAGTTTAACCGCTCACTGGCTTCCAGTTACACAAAACCCCAAATCCAGATTCTGGGCTGCAGCTCAGATCCCCCCGCCCCTCTCCTGGAACTCAGCTCCTTCCTGGGTCAGGATCCCCTCTCCCTACCTGAACTGTGATCCCCGAGGGCGGGCATTTGGGGGCATCATGGTCATTGCTGTGCCCCTGGCAGAGAGACCCTGGGGAAATTGTCAGGAGCGCCCTGCCATTTCCTCACTTGGCCACCAGCAGTCAGCGGCAGGTGCAGCAGGAGAGTGGGGCACTTTCTCAGGTATGTCACCCCGACGGCCGGCCCCGGGCCCTGCTACACAGATAAGGCAGCTGACTGCTTTAAAGCCTTTACTTAGCTCAAGTCTGAAGCTCGTGGACATCTGAGGAGGATGCGCTTTGGCGAGCGGGCAGAAGACCGATAACCGTGTCTACAGGGCTGCAGCGGGCGGTGTAGATCCTCGCGGGCGGGCGCGGAGGGGGCTCAGGGCCAGGTCGCACTCCAGGCCGGGCGCGGAGGCCGGGCGCGGCATGGGTGGGTTGGCTGCGGGTGGGTCGGACGCCAGGAGCGGGGTGCACGCTGGGTCCCCGCTGGCAGCACCGTCTCCGCGCGGACGGGACACCTCGGGGCGGCGGGCGGGCGTGGGGTGCATAGGGGAGCCCCACGCGCAGTGGAACGCGTCTGCGAAGGCGGCCAGGTTCTGCAGCGAGCCCAGCACCCTGCGGGTGGACGGAGGGGCCTGAGACAGCTCCGCCCGGGCGTGGGGCGCAGGGGCACAGGGGCCACTTGCCTGTACTTCGGGGGGCTGTGGACGTCAGTCCTGACGGACTGGATGGCAGACCCGGGCCGGTAGGACCCGCACCACACCTGTGGGTGCATGAGGGGCGTGGCTGCAGGACTCGGAGGAGGGGCGGGGGGCTGGGGTGCAGGGGCAAGGAGGACCAGAGGGGATGCTGGGGGGGCACCGTGGGCCTGGGGAGGCGGGCGCCCCTTGGGCTGTGGCACGGAGGGAGTGCGGCCTGGTTCCTCTCTGGGCACAAAGGAGTCCCGCCAGGACCCCTGCTGCTCCTTCTTGGGTAGGGGGAAGGAAGCCAGCGGGTCGCCCCTCTCCCTCCACAGCTACAACTGAATTTTCCCCAGCTCCAACGCCGCCACCATCCTTTCCCTCCAGGAAGCCTTCCTGGCCCACTCGTTCTGGTTCTGCCTGGCTTGCCCACCAGGGTGTCTCTGGAGGCATGCGTTAGTGGGGGCCCGCCAAGGATGCAAGTGGGGGAGCCTGTTTCCAGCCAGTGGGGCAGGGGACTGACCCCCACCTGTGCGTAGCTGATGAAGAACAGCTGCTTGTAGGTCAGCTCCAGTCCTGGCAGCTGCTGGTCCTTGCCACCTTCCGCCACCCACTTTAGGTAAGCCTGCAGGCACCAAGCGGGTGCTGGGCCAGGGCCTGCCCTCCTGGGGGCAGCACCGGGCTGGCCAGGACTCCAGGGTCCTTGGATTGGGGCGAAAGGGAGGTCTGGCTTCCGGGCCTCCTCCGGTGGGGGTCCTGTCCCTGCAGCGTGGGGCCTCTGAGAACCCCAGGGACCGTCTGAGCACCGACCCCGGGCTCGGTGGGAGCCCACTGCCCGGGCAGCCTGCCACATGAATGAGCGCCTGACAGCCAGTGCCCGAGGCTGCTGGTGCAGGGGTGTCGCTGAGGCTGGCTGGCGTTCAGTGACTGTCACTGCCTTACTTGGCAGTGGACAGTGGTCTCCCCAGAGCGCGGAGGCCTCAGCTAAGTTTGGGGTAAAGTGTGGGCCTGCCTGCCTGTGGCCGGCAGGCTCCCCCAAGGCTCTGCTGCCTCCCTGGCAGATGGAGAAGGGTCCCAGGATCTGCCTGGGCTTGGGAAGGGGTCAGTCCCTGCCGCACTGAGGGGCCGTCCCTGCCTGGACCTGGTCGCTCCCCGCCCCACCTCCTCGGGGGCCCTGCTTGGACGTACCTTGTAGGCCTGCCGCACCCCTCCATTGTCTGCGATGTTTTCCCCAAGGGTACTGAAGCCATTCGCCTGCAGGCAGGAGACAGGATGGCGGGGGTGCCCGGGCTCCCCAGCTCCACCCTCCCCCAAGCCAGGGCTGCGGTGTGTCCGGGAGGTGGCAGCTCACGTTCTGGTCGTCGGCCCGGTCCTAGGAGTAGTTGCCATACTGGTAGACCATGCACTCCGACTGCTTGAGGAAGTGCTGGGCCGAGAAGTTACTCCACCAGTCCATCACGTTCCTGTTCTTGTCGAAGTTCCGGCCTGGACGGGGGCGGGGGCTGCCCACGAGGCCCGGCCTGCACAGCGCCAGCCTCTCCCCCATGTCCTCCCGGGAACCCCAGTGTCTAGAGCTCATGTGAGCAGAGAATGGGCCCCCTGTCACGGGGCTGCTCAGGCCCTGGGGGACGGAAGGCTTCAGTGGTGTCCATGCCATCCCCAAGGTCAGGGCCTGGGGTCTTGGGTCACAGGACCCCAGAGGCACTGTGGGCTAAGGAGCCTTGCTGTGGCGTCCATACTCTCTAAACCCCAGGGAAGGGGAGCGCTGGACCCTGGGGACATGGGGCTGCCCTCAGAAGGTTTCGCTGGTCTAGCCCAATGGGAAAGTCAGCCTCGCTGGGTGGCAGCTGGAGGCCCCTGGAACCAGGCAGGAACCAGGCAGGGGGCCCCCGCACAGCGGTGGGAGGGGTGTGTTTGTGACTGGAGGTGCAGCTCTGACCTCCAGGCAGCCCCGTACCGTTGTCATCAAAGCCGTGGGTGATCTCGTGCCCAATCACCATCCCGATGCCCCCAAAGTTCAAGGCCTGTGGCTGTTCCTTGCTGAAGAACGGAGGTTGGAGGATCCCGGCAGGAAACACTGCGAGGAGGCGGTGGGGGACGGAGTAAGCTGTGGGTGAGCACACCTGTGCGCCAGGCTCGGGGTGGGCGCACCTAGGTGTCCTGGCATTTAACCTCACGGCCAGGGAGGTAAAGGTTATGATCCCCTGCCGCATTTTACAGAGCAGAAAACCTAGGCTCTGAAGGCAAGACGGCAGGGCTTATGGGGCGCGGGGTGAACATACCGATCTGGTTTCGGTTTGGGGAGTAGAATGCATTCACTGCAGTGGCCCCGATGATCCAGCTGTGATAGACAGGTGGGTCATTCAGAGCCCAGGTCTCCTGGGCCTGCCCTCCAGGTCCCCCTACTCAGCTGGCCAGAGCCCACCCTGACCCATGCACAGCGGTCATGCCACGAGGCCAGCACGGCCAACGGCCAGGGCAGGGTCTAGGCCAGTCCAAAGCCCTGGCTTCTCCCTGGGACCCCAGAAGCAGAGGGCGGGTGCAGGGGGGCTCTGAGCCAGACCCACTGCCCTCGCCCGCTGGCCCATTTGCCCCCCTCCCCCGTGCCATCCCCACTCACAGGTTTTGGTCCACCTTCTCCCGAAGTTTCTTGAGGCTCCGCTGGGCGCCAGCCTTGAGATTCTGCAGTCCGTTCTCAAAGCACAGGCACTCCGAGAAGTTCAGCTACAGGAGACGGGTGGGCATGCGTGCGGGGTCCTCGAGGGGCCCGGGGGTAAGGGAGGTCAAGGGCGGCTGGGGACTGGCCTCAGGACTCGCCAGGCAGTCCCAAATGTGGCCCACAGGCTCTGCATGCAGTGGACTAGGGGCCGAGCCTGGCTCTGTGCATTTACCGGGCAAGATCCAAGTCCCTCCCAGCCATGGTTTCCCCACCTGTAATGGAAGGTGATGCTAGAGGCCCAGCATGCGGCCAGGTGGCTGAGTTGTGGACGGAATCCACCCCCCTGTAGTTGAGGGCCCAAGGTCCTTGGGGGCTGGCTTAGGGGCGGGTTGGGCTGGGGCCAGGGGACAGGTGGGGCTGTGTGGGTGGCACGCACATTGGAATACTCCTCGTCCAGGTGTTTGTTCCCCTCCTCCAGGATGTAGTCGGGATACCCAACCTGCTCCCGGATGCTCATGGCCTAGGGAGGAGATGGGGGCCGGTGCCTGCCCACCCCACTGTGGGCATCCTGGCTTTGCCCCCGCCGTGTGGGTAAGGGGCTAAGGGACTCGCCCTCCTTGCAGGCTGTGGGGAGGCTAATGGGGACAGAACGTGGAAGGGCTCGACCAGAGACCGACCTTCGCACCCGGCCGCCAGCCAGGGGTCTGGGGTCGGGCCGGGCAGAGCTGCTTGGCTGCTGTCACACCAGCCCAGCGGGGGTCCTGCTCCCTGGGGCCGTGGCCGCCCCCGCGCATTGCTGGGGGGTCTCACCTCTGCCCGCAGCCCCTTCCTGAGCCCCCCACCCCCAGGCTCACTGCCCTCATCTCTGAAGAAGGGGTGGCGACGACTACCCTGTACCCCTCGCACCGGGGCCACCCTCTCCCAGCCTCCTGCCCACCTTCTCCTGGGCCTTCTTGGATGACTCATCCATCCAGCTCAGCTCGTCCAGGGTCTCCACGAACACTGCCCGAAGCTGGTCGATGAGCTCTCTGACCTGGGGGGAGCGCATGACCCTGGTGCCTGGCTGATCGGCATTGGGGTCTCTGTAGGGGGCCGCTCCGAACGTGGTGGGGGGTTGGGGGCGGGATCTGACCCCCTGGGACAGGGTCCCCACGGCAGTACTTTGTCCTGGGTGGGCCTAGGGCCTGCCAGGCCCTGGACTCACACCTCGTACAACTTGTCCCCTTCCCAGGCAGGCCCTCAGGGCTGGGGGTCGGGGCCAATAGCTGTTGGGGGCCAGAGGCCTGGGGCGGGCAAGGCTTCCCCGCATCCCGCTGTGTGATGGGGCGCCGGGCAAACACGTGCTCCCCGGTACCGCTGAGCACACAGGCGCTGCTGGGGCGAGAGGTGCCACGGGCTGGTGTCCCCTGGCCCAGGGCGGGGTCGCCGGGCACGCACCATGTTCTTGCTGTCCCCGGGGAAGGCCTCCTTGACGTAGAGTGAGCCCACGGCGCTCTCCATGTTACTGTTGACGTAGCTGACGCACTCCCGCCAGCGTACCTCCTGTACCGACGTGCCGTACAGCGCCTGGCACGTTTCATTTCACCACGTTTACCAATGTCTGCTTCCCTGGCCTCGGCCCCAGCGTGCCCAGGGACCAGTGGGGGACGTTGGTGAGCTCAGACACTCCCTTTGAACACCGCCCCTGGTGTGGGAGGACCGGGTGTGCAGTTTGGAGGGCTGGGCTCCCGGCCCAGGCCGACCCCGGGGTGCGGGTGCCCTGTCCGGCCCCGAGTTCCTCCTTGGCCCCTGTCCTTGCCACCCTGGCCTGGCTGGCTGGCCGACTATGCTCTCAAGGACTCCAGCCCTACCCCAAAACACAGGCTGGCGTTGACCTTGGGGGCCTTGTCTAGCTCAGCCGTGAGCTGCCAGCTGTCTGGGCCCTGGTTTTCCCGTCTCCAAAATGACGATGAGAATGTCTGCCCATCTGTCCTTGGGGACACAGGGCACAAGATGGAAATGTGCCCCCCATCAGATTTCTGGCCCCAAATCTTGGCCACCTCGGAGCTCTGCCCAGCATCTGGCCACACGTTCCGGGGCTGTGGGGTTTCCTGCCTTTTAGGAAGTCAGTGTGACTCATTCTCTGTCCTCTGAGCTCTGGGATTCAGCTCCCTTCTCCACGCTTGGCTCGTAGCGTCCTCAGCCCAAGACGGCAAAGCAGGAGGCCTGATTGCCACAACCGGCTCTGCCCCCATCTCCCTGATCGGGGCCGGACCCCTGCCTCCACTCGGCCTGTGCCCCCACAGCAGCCAGAATGACCACACGAGGCGGGACATCGGACTGTGGTTCCCACTCTTAACACCCCAGTGGCTCTCAGTGCACGCGGAATCCACATGCTGCTCTGGCCCATGGTTGCCTCCCCCTCCTTCCCAACCTCATCTCCCTCCTTCCCCCATGTGACCCCGGGGTCCCTGCGCCAGGACCTCTGCACTAGCTGTTTCTGCTCCTGGGAATCTGGCCTGGGTCATTCGTGCCTTGAGGTCTCCATGGTCACTTTCACTGAGAGGCTCTCCCTGCCCTCACCCCCTCCCCTCACATCCTACTTGCTGGTCTTGAAAGAGCAGATTGTGCTTTGTCGATGGCTTATTGTTAGGCTGCCCCAAGAGGGTGTGTCTCATGAGTCTGGATCACAGCTCTGATCCCAGGGTGGACCTTGGTGCTTGGCCCACAGCAGGTGGTCAGTGTTAACAAGGAAACAGGCCAGGCTCGGTGCAGGGGCAGGGCATCTCTCACCTTGCGGTAGTTTGCATGTGCATCCTTGAATCTCTGGCTCAGGCTGCTGATGCGGTCCAGCACCAGGCGCCAGACCAGGTAGTTCTGCATGGTCCTGGGGCAGGAGGCAGAGGGCAGCGGATAGAACAGGTGCGCGCTGTTTGCCCAGGGAGAGGGTGTGGTTTATGGGCCCTTGGACAGCAGGCTCCACACCAAACAGAGACTTCAGGGTGGTGGAGAAAGTCTCCAAGACGACCCACAGATACATCCTGCCTGCCCCTGGATGACTCAAGGAGGGGTTCGCTTCTCTAACGTAAGGTCCCACTGGCCACAAACATTTGACCCCGTCATGTCCCTTGCGCCTCAGAGTAATGCTTTATGGGGTCCTCTCCTGAGAGGAGGAGCTGTTGGGGATGAGGAGAGAGCAGGGGAGAGATGCTGACACCTCTTGGGACCTTCCTTGAGCCTCACCTGGATGAGTAGACATCGATGATGTCTTCAAGATTCTGGAGGTAGGGGATGCCATAGACCACCACTTCCTCATCTGGCAGCAGCTCGATTTTGACAGAGGATAGCACAGATTGTATGAAGAGAGTCCAGTTAAATCTCTGGAGAAGGAGGGAGTGAGGAGAAAGAGGGAGAGATGGAGAGGTAGACACAGTTCTTGGGCATCCAAGAAACCCAGCCCCCTCTAAAGAATATTCAAAAAATAAGAGAGAAGGTGCAGGTAATCAGAATCAGGAAAAAGGTGGGTGACATTACTACAGAGCCTACAAACAGTGAAAAGAGATTATGGCAATATATTGGAAAATTCAAGTGTAATGGAAGACTTCCTGGAAAAACACAACTTAGCAAAAAATGAAAGAAGAGATAGGAAATATAAATAGTTTCGTATGTAAGAAACTGGATTATTATTTAAAATATTTCCACATAGAAATTTCCAGACTCATCTGGCTTTTCCAGTGAATACTATCTGACATTTAAGGAAGACATACCGCCAATCTTAAACTTTCCAGAGAAGGAAAAAAGAGAAAACTCTTTCAACTTGATTTATGAGGCCAAGAATAACCTTAATACCAAAATAAGGACATTAAAAGAAAAGAAAACAACAGGCCATTCTCATTTATGATAATTGATACAAAAATTCTAAGCAAAATATTAGCAATCGGAATTCATCCATACCTATATAAAATGGATAATGCAGCACAGCCAAATTAGATTTACTCAAGGAATACAAGTGTGGTGTAACGTTTGAAAATCAAATCAATATAATTCACTATGGTAACTGAATACAGAAGGAAAATCACATGGTAATTTCAATAGATGCAGATAAGGCCTATTAAAATTGACTACTCATGAAAAAGATTCAGCAAATCGAAAAAGAAGTTCTGTAATCTAATAAAAGGATCTGTACAACAGCAGCAGTGGCAACAAACAAAACCCCACTCTACAGCAAACAAAATTAAATGAAAGCTTGCAAAATGTTGCAATCTCTTCTTCTGAGATCAGGAGGGAAACACGATATCATGACTTTAGCATTATGCTGAAAGTCCTAGCCAGTTCAATAAGACAAGAAAAAAATTAAATCAATAAGGATTGAAAAGGGAAGAAATAAAACTTACTTTTTACAAAGGACATGATTCTGTGTCTATAAAATATTAAAGGATAAACTGTTAGAAATACTACATGCTTTGAGTAAAATTGCTATATACAAAGTATTTCTGTATACTAGCAACAAAGAATAAGAGAAATTGCAAAGTGATGCCATTTACAATAATATTAAAAAACCAAGCACCTAGGAACAAATGTAATGAAAGATATGTAAGGCCTTGAAGTAGAAAAATCTAAAACTTATTGAGAGAAACCAAAGAAAACATAAATATATGGAAGTAACTATATGGAAGTTTCATGGATCAGAAGACTCAACCTTGGAAAGATGTGGATCTTCCCCGAATTGATGCTTAGGTTTCAAGCAATCCCTGTCAAAATCTCAGCAGCATTTTGTGCGTGTGTGTGTGTGTAATTGACTAGCTGACTCTGAGTCTTGTAAGAAAATGCAAAAGATCAAGAATAATTGATTTGAAGAACAAAGTTGGTAGACATCAAAACTTATCACAAAGCTATAGCAATGGAGGCGGTAGGTTCTGGCACGTGAATAGAGAGAGAGACCATTGGAACAGAAGAGAGTTCAGAAATACACACACAGGTACGAACGCACAGACCCAGACATGCACACAGGCACAAGCGCACAAAAAGGCACTCGGTCTTCAATCAAGTTGGCACACAGTGCAATGGCTAATGGGGGAGTCTTTTCAATAAATGGTGCTAGATCATCTGGACAGCCACAGGCAGCACATGAAACAATTCCTTCTTCTCACTGTACATAAAAAATCAACTCAAGGTAGACTGTCGACCTAAACAACCTTGGCAGGCAAAGATTTCTTAAGCAGAACACAATGAATGCTAGCCACAGAGACAGGATCCATCCGTCTTTGGATAGATTGTACTATTTTAAGCCCTCCTTTAAAAAAAAAACCAGTATGAAAGTAAAACAGCAGGCTGCCTGCTGGAAAGGACATTGACTACGCAGAAACTGACCAAGGGGTCACATCCATCCTTCACAAAAGGGGGCCACCATTGGCCACTCAGTGTGACGTAGTGCTCAGGGCAAGTCAAATCCAACCCAGATGAAATTCCGCAACACATTCATAGATGGGCTGAGACGGAAGGAATGAGCACCGCCAAGCACTGGAGCGGAGTTTCACACACTCCAGTTGGGAAGTGTAAATCTGTATGATGATTTTCGAATGACCTGTGTCCTAAGACCTGGCCACTTCATCTCTATGGACACCTGACAGAAATGCTCGCACGTGTGTGCCAAAAGACGTGCATGGGAATACGCATAGCAGCATCGCTCAGAAAAGTCCAGAACTGGAACAGCCAGAGGCCCAACAAGAGTAGAACAGGAGCACAAACTGTTGTGTGTTCTTAGGATCGATTGTACAGGGATCAGGGTGACTGAGAGGCCGCTGCTGCCCCAGCGAGATGAGATGTAACGACGGTGAGTAGTAGACTCACCTAAGGAACGTAGGAGAAAGCAGCCGGGCACACGCGTGTGGTGGAGGCTAGGTGGTGGCTGCTTTGGGAAGGAGGGCAGGGAGGGGGCTGCGTGGATGGGCTCACGTGTGGCGATTCTAAGCTCTGTGAACGCATTATAGTCCAGACACCCTGAGCCCTGCGTTCCTGCACGTGGCCACCCCTGCTCCGGGGCGTCTCCGCAGCACCTTCTGGCCATCTGCGTCCCCCCTTCCTCTCACTTCCCACGTTTGGTCCATTTGCAGGTCCTGCTGTTCTCCCTTCCAAATGAATCCACGAGCTATGCCTCTCAGCCCTTCCACTGCCGCTGTCCCAGGCCGCCACCTGGTCCCGCCTAGGCTGTGCTGCAGCAGCCTCCTGACCATCTCCCTGCTTCTGGCCCTCAGTCCCTTCCCTGTGTCCTCAGCAGCCAGGTTCTCTTTGCTATGAGTCAAGTCCTGTCCCATCAAAGCCGGTGCCTTCAAAATGGCCCCGGAGGCCCGACATGGTCCGCCCTCCCTCCCTGGCCTCAGGACCTTGGCACTCACTCGCTGTTCCTCTGTGCCCGCCTTGCCTGCCCTCCGACACACTCTGCAGGCCACATCTCTTTTTCCCCCACCCAAGCCCTGGGCGGGGGGCTGCCTGCTTCGTTCATGGATGGAGTCGGAGCCAGAGCACGGCTGGCCCCTCAAAGTGCCTGCCTGGGAGGGGGCGAGCTGGCGGGCGGTGCGGGGTGGTGTCACAGCAGGCCAGCGCTGGGAGCCGGGAAGGAAGCGCGGGGGATGACAGGGCCTTCTGGAGCACCAGGTGGGGGATCCCCGGGCAGGGTCCCCCTGAGTTCTCCCGTCTTGTTCTGTGGCTCCAGACACTTAGGTGTTCTGGTCACAGGAAGGACATTCAGGCCCTGCCTCTGACGGCGGGCTCCGTCCCCAGCTGCACCGTCTCCCCCTGACCTGGGCCTCGGTCGCCGCAGTCAGCTGGTGGTGGCTAGAGCCACGTCCGGACCCTCTTTCCACAGGAGAAGGCCCCTCTGACGGCTCAGGACAGGCTGAGTGAGTGCGGGGCCTTGGGGGGTGCAGGGCTGAGCTCCCCCTTCCCAGGCCTGGCCAGCGGGAGGGGAGGGTCCGAGGGTCCGGCCGTGGGGTCCTCTGTCAGGGGCAGAGCTGCGCTGGGGCCCCGAGCCGGGCCTGGGGACAGGAAGTCCCGGGTGGGGGGCCCGCCCGACTCGGGCGGGCGGGTCAGCAGCCCCTCGCAGGCCGCTCTCCCGCTCGGAAGACCTGGGATGTCGCAGCAGGCACCTCACAGGCGGGTGGCCCCGCATCCCCAGGCAGCCAGCTGACACCTGCCGTCCTCGTGTGGACGTGTCCCTGTTTGGGTGACCGGTCCCGTGGGCCCTGCTTGGGGTGGGCGTACTTGAGGCTTAGGGGAGAGGGGCGGGGCGGGTGCGGCTGCAGCTCACCTTCAGACCAAACTTGCTCTGGAGCTGTTCCAGGTCCATCCCGTGGCACAGGGCGGTGACGTCGTGCCGCCCCTCCCGGGGGGCCGTGGCCTGCAGCGGGGCGGGTGGCCACAGGGGCGGGGCAGCTGGCCTGATGCCCCCAACCCTGTCCGCCCCCGGTGCACGGCCTCACGTTGGCCAGCTGCGTCTCCAGCTCCAGCACCTGGGCCACGTCCTCCCGCACCAGGTCGCTGTTCTGCGGGAGGTTCATGTCTGCCCGAAGCATTGTGGCCACCGACATCATGAACTGCAGGTAGGCTTCCCGTACCTGAGCCAAAGGGTGCAGGACACAGTCTGGCGGCCTCGGGCACCTCGGCCCCCATGGAGCTCTCTGTGGGGGCAGGGTGGGCATATGCCACAGAGCAGCCCTCGGGATGCTCATCGGCTTGGGGGCTCCAGACGGCCCACGCCTCCCAGACCAGGGGCCCTCGGCGCTGGGACTCATGCTGCTGGCAAGCCGGCGGGTGGGAGGCTGTGAGCCCCGTGGGTGGACGGCGCCTGCTCCCCAGACCTGCTGGATAGGCTTCTCGCCGACCCACAGCCAGACGCTCAGCGCCGGGCTCCCTGCTGCATCCCTTCTATGTGTGACCCCGTGCCTGAGCAGCTGGCACGGGACCGGAGCAGCGGACTGCATGGCTGCATGTAAAGTGCGGGGCACACAGTAGGTGCTAGTAAAGGCCCAGAGCCATCGGGCGCCAGGGTTCAGGTGGGCTGCCCTAGCCAGGCTCGCCTAGGCTGGGCGTCAGGAGCTGGGTCCTGAGGCTGTGTGTCCCTCCTGGACCCGCCTTCTTGGGGCCTGTCTTGCGGGGGGGTGTTCCTCATTTGCAGGCAGGGACCACAGAGGCCATGTCTTCCCAGTTACTTGGCATCAGGCTGGGCTGGTGGCATCAACCAGGCCGGCCTTGGCCAGCAGCTGCCGGGTCTGATCCATGGCTGCCAGGCGTGAGCCCTTCCAGGGGCCCCAGTCCCTGCTGCTCTGAGTTGGGTTCCTTGGGCTGTTCTCCCAGCCCCACTGCCCACTCCACGGCTCCTTCTTTTGGCCACGCTTGTCTTTTCTCTTGGCTGGACCCTCCCAGCCTAGCTCACAGCCCACCTCCTCCACGAGGCCCACCACACTGCTTCCAGGCCGTGGGCCATGTCACCTCCTTTCAGTCTGCTCCCCGGCCTTCCCCCCTGACTCCCCCTTCCACACCCCCTGGCCCTGTCCCGCGTGCCTTGCTGCTGTTCGGTTCCCCATCTCTCTTCTCCTGGGTGCAGCAGGAGGGTGGCTCCGGGAGCAGGCTCAGGGCCTGGGTGGCCTGCATTCAGATCTCTACAGGCCACATGCAGTGAGCCGGTGGTGTGGACCGCAGTCCTGCCCTGGCGAGATGGGGATGGCAGGTGTGCCCCTCGGGGCTGCAGGGCTGAGCGGATCCCCAAGCCTGCCCCTGGGGGTTCAGGGACACCCCTGCGATGGTGACAAAGACAGGGGTCCACGTCTGCGTGTCCAGCCCTCAGCGCCGGGCTTGAGCCACGCAGGTACCCACAAAGGCTAGCTGTGGGGCTGGTGTCGAGTGACACACAGGGAGCCGGGCCACAGGTGGGCCCTGGAGTGATGGGCGGAGGGCGCCCAGAGTGGAAGGTGCCGGCTGGAAAGCGCCAGCGGGGGGCAGGTCCAGTGTCAGCTGCCCCTGACTCACCTTCTGGTCGCTGCCCTCATTGCAGTAGTGCTCTCGGGCCGGCATGCCCAGAGTTGGCTGGTCTATCTGGAGACAGAGCGTGGGACCCTGGGCATGGAGCCGGGACACCCCTAGCCTTGCCGAGGTGGGCCCAGCCCTCTCCCCTCCACCATGCTGTGCCTGGTGGGAACGGGCGCTCTATCTGGAGCATGTGCAGGTACTGGGCCCCGACCCCTGCTCTGGGGCTGGACTGCAGGTGGGCTGAGGGGTGGCCAGGGGGTGCGGGCCACCCACAGGGCCTCGGACAGCCCCCCTCCCAGAGCGGAGTGTGTATTCCACGCGGGGTCCTCTGTGGCCTATCTGTGGCCAGTGGTGGCTCTTTGAGGTCGGGCTTTCTGTGCTGCTGCCAAAGGCCTGGACGGACCGTCCCAAGGACTAGCTCGGCACTGGGCTGCCCCTCTGGTCAGGACACGGGCCCCAGAAGGCCCAGCAGAAACCCAGACCATCGGCACAGGTCCCCTGAACTGCAGGTGTGGATGATAGCAGGGCCCTGGGAGCATTCGCGGGCCACCTGCCCCCTGTGGTAAGAGCTGTCTCCCCGCTGCCCTGCGGGAGCCCCCAGCCAGGCCCAGGGGACCCGGCCTACCTGGCCCCACGGCGCGGCTTGTACATAGATGATGTGCTGGCTGGAGTTCTGGTCGTCGTTCCAGATGAAGAGGTCGATGAGGACCCGCCGGTTGAACTGCGCGTTCATCACGGCCAGCTGCTGCTCCAGTTCCCACCGGTCACCTGGGGGCCGGCACCCTGTGCTGGAGACCTGTCAGGACCTGGGGTCCTAGCCCAGCACCTCGTCCAGAGTCCATGGGGATCAGCAGGGCCTGGAGAGCAGCGCTGTGCGCCCCCCCCACCCCCGATAGCAGGGAGCAGAGCCCACGCTGTGAGCTGGGGCCCTGGCCCTTCCCTAGGGCTCTGGAAGGGATGCCCCTCAGCAGAGCGGAGGGGCCCAGCCACTGGGAGCCCGCCAGCAGCTGCTGCACACTCTCCGGCTCAGGCCTGGAAGGCCCAGGGCCCCCCGCCCATGCGAGGCCGCCACCAGGCCCAGGGCCCCTGCCCATGCGAGGCCGCCACCAGGCCCTGCCTTACCTACACTCTCGCTCCACTTGTCCGTGGCCACTGGCCAGCCTCCTACCGCCTTCAGGATGTCCAGCAGGGGCTGCGAGTCTTGCTTTTCTATCTCACCTGAGAGGGGAGGGAGCGGTCGCTCACCTGATGCCCTGGCGGGGAGGTGGGGGGGCGGGCGTGACACCTGCCGGCACATGGACCTGCGGGGATGCTGACGCCCAGCGCGGAGCCTGACCCTCCCGGTGTAGACTCTGCAGCACAGGACACACAGGAGCCTGGAAAGAGCAGACGGGATGCAGGCGGGAAAGGGGCCTGGGGTTGATGAAAGCACAGACGCCACCAGGACAAGGGTGTGGAAGGGGAGGCCCCGAAGCTCAGAGAAGCCCAGGCGGTACTCTGGAAGGCCGGGAACAGGCAGGGGTGGGGGTCCACGCCGGCGGCTGGGAAGCCCACGTGCCCTCCAACTCCAGCATCGGGTGGACCGAACTGCTGACAGAGCATGGAGCACAGCTTCCCAGCATGGGGGCGCCCAGGAAGCTTGGGAGAACTTGGCACAAGAAACCGCGAAGGTGGGAATAGAGCTGGCCCGCTGCTGACAGGGTGGAGCCTTCGGGGCAGGGAGGGCCCCGCCAGTTGATCGCTTGACCTGGAGGGGTGGGCTGGGAGGGGAGCAGTCCAGGGGGAGGGGGGCGGCTCCAAGGGCGCCCTGATGGGGGCCGGCGCCTGGGGGAGCGAGAAGCAGGGTGTCCCACGTGGCTGGTGGGGGCACACTGGGCTTGCTTTCTTGGGTCCTGAGTTGGGAGCAAAGACAAAACCTAGGGAGCTGCCAGTGACGGGTCAGGTCGGCCGTCTCGGGCAGATCGTTACAGGAGTTACTGTTTGGCTTCCTGTGCTGGTTCCCGTAGGTGATGGCCTGGCCGCCTGGCTGCAGACCGGGGGTCAGAGTTGTGTTTTTATACACGGTCTGGCCGTTGTCCATTCGTACATTTGGTCTCTCAGGCCAGAAACTCTATACAGGTGGGAACACAGCGCATCTCCTTCACCTGACAGGTGCTGGCCAGACTGGATCACGTGACCTTCTGTTTCCATGGGGATGAGAGGAGTGTGCCAGCCCAGGACCCCATGGAGACACCCCGATAATTCCGGGGGCCCTACAAGTTTCGTTATTAGGTACACCAGAAACAAACCCCACCCTGCAGGAGACCCCTGGGGAAACAGCCAGCCTCAAACCCTGGTGCCGAGGAGGGGAAGTGGTCCCCCAGAGCAGCCGGAACCACAGGCTGGGTTTGCAGGCCCCCAGGCAGGCGCCTAAGGGAAGATGGGCCGGAGGGGCCCCAAGTGTGTGAATCCTCTTAACAGGAACCAAAGCACTGGGAAACTCCCCCACACCCCTGCCACACAACACACACATACACACAAACACACACTCAGACATACACACATACACACAAACTTACACACACATAGATATATATACCCATATACACACATACACACCATAGGTATAATGCCCATATACACATATATATGTACACACATATAAACACATAAATACACACAGACACACATATACACACAGACATACACACATGCCTACACACATATACACACAGACACACATATGCCTACACACAGACATACATATACACATATATATGTACCCACATACACACATGCATACACACATGCACATACAGACACACATACACATAGACATAATACCCATATACACATATATGTACACACACATACAAAAACGCATACACATAGACACACATACACATACAGGCATGCAGACATATATATATACCCAAACACACACACATAGACATAATACACGTATACGTGTACACACATATACACACATACACACATAAACACATACACATACATACACATATTCCTACACACATGTGCATATACACACACAATAGACATACATTTGCATCTACACACACATACACACACAGACACAATACACATATATGTATACACACATATACACACAAAACACATACATACACACAGACACACACACACACACACACACAGAGTAAGATTTTCTCTCGATTCTGCCTTCAGTCAGGCTCCTGCACCTTCTGCTGGGCCCATCACCGCACCTCCTGGTAAAATCCAGCTTTAGCAAGGACTCTGCGTAGTCACTTTAACCAGCAGTCCCCCTGCGCCTTGCATACCTGACCCCTCTCAGTAGCTGGCCGGAGTTCTCGCCCCTCTCTGTCCCCCAGGTGATGTCTGACTGCCTGCCTGCCTTCCGCAAGAACCCCATTAGGTCAGTTTTGCCAGACACGCCCCCCCCACCATGTTTCCTGTTAGTAAAATCTTCCATTCACTGACCCCTCCTGCCCCTCAGCTATAAACCCTCACCTGCCTGCCCTCGCTGTATTTGGAGTGGAGCCCAATCTCCTTCCCCTCTTGCTAGACCCCACTGCGGTGATGCCTGCACCTACTGAGATGGCCCTGAAGAGTCTGCCTTTTACCATCTTTACCAAGTGTCCTGAATAATGCTTCCTTCAAACCACACACAGGCATGCGCACGTGCACACACACATGTGTGTGCATGTGCATTTTCCCTGGGCACAGTGTGGCTGGCTGGGGTCAGGGTGTGAGCCGGTCACGGACAGCTGGCAGTCAGCCTGGACCCCGTAGGGCACCTGGGCCCGGTGGCCAGCCAGCGGGAGCACACAGCTCCCGCTGGCACGAGTTTGGAGAGGTGCCCACTCCACCATGCTCTGTCTCAGGGCCATGGGGTCCTGGAACAGGGTCCTGGCGGGGCAGCTCCGTCGGCCACTCACTCTCGTTCATGCAGGAGCGGTACAGCATCTTGGCCTTCTGTACAGCTGGCCGATCCTTGGTGGTAGAATTCTCCAGCAGCCCTGTGGGCAGAGGAGAAACTGGACAGAGGCCTGAGGAGGCTGCTGGGGAGGTCAGGTCAAAGGTGCCCGTGTCCTGGCCGCACCCAGTGGAGGCCCTTATCCCAGGGGACTCCCTCTCCCCTGTGCCCACTGACCCGACGGGCTGTCCCCACCCCTTGGGTGGAGGCCACGCTCACCTTTGAGAATGATCTCCAGCTCATCCTGGAGGATGTCGAAGACGCTGTATTGCGAGTCGGTCTTGGGGATCACGTGGCGCAGCAGCCAGCCGCTGCACGCATACTGGTAGAAGTCGCCACAGGGCTCCTTGGACGGGTCCATGTTCTGGAGGATCCTGGCGGCTGCTCATCCCCAGGGGGTGCAGAGGAAGAGGGGAGATCTGGTGTGGACAGCCCGGTGGGCTGTCGGGTATTCAATCACGGCCCTGTGCCCTCAGAAGCGTTAGTCAGCCCGGGACCTCAGGGAGGTCGCCAGCAGGGCCTCCAGTTCTAAGGACCCCACTTATCAGCCACGTGAGCTCGGACCCCGTGACCTCTCCGATCCTCCGCTCACACATCTGCGAATCCAGGACGCCTGGGTCACACAGATGGTCAGGTGTTGGCTAAGCCCGCCCGGCTCACCGCGAGCGCTCAGCACTGGCCCTGCCCTGGAGCCCCCTCACCCGTCCGTGCGTCCATGGGGGAGGGTGGCTCTCGCCCACCATAGGGGTTTGTTTTCTGTTGGAGCAGATGGGTTTGCTCCCAGAACCCCATGTGGCAGGGACAGTGGGGCCCCCAGGTTCCTGGCAGGATGCTTTCAGCAGAGGTGGCCAGGCTGGACCCCAACCCAGGACCCTCCCTCGCCTTCTGTTCCACTTGGCTGGGACCTCGCAGCTGGCAGCCCCACAGGAGTCCATCCACTACCCCAACGTGGGCAGAAAAATCACATTTCTGAGTTTTTACACTAGTGTTTCTTCATACCATTTTCACTGTGTTTTATCTGCAAATAATGGCACATGGCGCCCAATTTTAAGACAAATTCCTGGGAGAAAACTTGAGAGAGTGTGTGTGTTTGTGTGACCTTCTTTCTGTAAGTGCAAAAAAGAGCGCCTGGGGTTCCTGTGCCAGCTTCACTGTGGTCATGGGGGCCTCTGCAGGCAGGGGAGTAGCTTCCTGGGGGCAGGGGAGGTGAGACACCCGTAGTAGAGTCCCTGCCCCCAGGCACATCCAGGGCCTGCCCACCAGCCCAATGCCGCGTCTCAGGAGTGCGGTGGCTCCCCGTGGCCTCGAGCAGCGCCTGTGCCAGCATCACGGGGGTCCCCGAGCCCCCTGGCAGGGCTGTGGAAGGCTTGGAGGGAAGGGGGGCTTACCTGCCATCACGCAGCCAGGGGTAGTGCAGGTTTCGCTTGTGTCCCTGGGCTTTTGGACGTCTGCGGGCAAGGAGTAGTGTGAGCACTTGGCGAGGATGGTCGGTGCCGGTGGGGCTGGCAGGGGTGGGCGGGGCACAGGTGGGGTGGGAAGGGATGGGGCTGGCAGGGTTAAACCTCGGCCACCCCCACCTCCATGGGCGGTCCAGCCTGGTCCCTGAGGGCATCTGGAGGGCAGCCTGCATCCTCCCTGGGTGGCCCAGTCCTGGGACCTTAAGTGAGGGTAAGCTCATTCTGGCTTGACCCCTGCAGTGACCCGGGAGCCCCTTTACACCCTCTGATCCCCACAGCTGAGGGCTGAAGCTAGCCATTCTGTCCTCCTGCCTGTCGGCCCAGCCAGCGCTCACCCATCAGGCGTCACCTCCTCCAGACAGCCTGCCTGTGCTGCCCTGTCCCTGCACGCCCTTACTCTCTCCCAACCCCCCACCCCCTCACCTGCTGGTTGTATCAATGTGCAGCTGCAGAACCTCAGGAGCCGCTCCCTGAAACTGCCGGTTCCCAGGCGCCCAGGAAGCATTCTGCATCCAGCAGGTGCTCACGGCTGCATCCCTGCCCCTGCCCTTTCTTCCCAGGGGACCCTGGTGCCCTGGGCAGGGCCCCCCGTCCTGCCGCACACCCCGGGCCTGCAGTGGAACCCAACCTGGCCATGCGGGATGCCATTTCCTAGCACTCCCCTGCTCGGGTCGTGCTGGGAGGGAAGACGGACTACCTCGGGGTGTTTGATTTACAATGGTCTTCTCTTCCTTTGAGAAGCAAAGCCGGCTTGTAAAAAGCGGCAGCTGCTTCCCTGGGGAGAAACACAGAACTCAGCTCTCCTGCTGCCACGGCTTCCCGGGTGCCTTGGGGCCGACCTGGGGCAGCACAGGCATTCTCCTGCGGAGGGGGTCCTGGGGGCTCCGGGGATTCCTTGTGTAGGGCTGTGGCCCCTTCCCGCTGTAGTGAGGGCTGGTCACCAGGCACTCCAAGACACAGGGGCTCCAGCAGAACTCTAATCGAGCAGAGGGGGAGGCCCACCAGCCCTGGGGCCGCAGCTGCCGGGCCCAGAGGGGTCCTGAGGCAGGACCTCTTCCCCTAAGAAGTGCCCTCTGACATCCTCCTCTCTACCGCGGGGTCATGGGCCTCACCCAGGCGAGGGTGGGCAGCTCCTGGGGTCAACCAGGACAGGGACGATAAGCCCTTTAAGGGGGAAAGGATGTCCTCTGGGGGGTCTCTTTCTGACCCACTGGCCTCAGCTCCAGCCCCTCCACAGGCGCAGGCAGCTGAAAGTGCAAAGCTGCCCTCCCTCATTTGTCCACTACGTAGGGGGGCGGGCACTGCCTGGTCAGCATCGGCCTGGAGGGGGTGCAGGAAGGGGGCGTGAGTGCAGGGAAGGGGGTCAGGTCCAG